ATAGTATTTTATTCAATTATATAAAGGGTGACCCAAGATCAGAAGAAAAAAATGGAAATGGAAAAAAGATTCAGAATGAAAACGAAACCAGCTAGGTTTTGGAGAGCACACGTTGATGTCGGTATAGATCTGTCATTTGGGGGTAATAAAGTGGGGATTGAAAATGGAGGATGATGAATTTATAGCAGAAAGTTATTATGGGGGGGAGATTTTGGTGGTGCTTTAATGGTGGTGGGTAGAACAGAGAAACGAAAAGACATTAACTCACTGTTCTGGTAATGGATTGTTGTGCGTATAAGGAAAGATGAGAGCTTGAGAATAAGGGTAGAGCCTTCCTCAGTAGATTACTGCCCTGATATGCCGTGAAGAAAATAGACGGGTTAGGTGGGTGGTGAAAATATATGTAATAAAGAAAACTTTTCCGATGGGAAGCTTTCAACTTTGGGTTTGTTATGGCCACACAATCACGTGTTAAGCAAATAGATTATGCTGAGTTTGTTTAATTTGGATTAACCATTTAAACATAATTGATAACTCATGATTGGTATGATTTGTCTTGTATCTATTTTTTAAGGTTTTTTTTTATCATAATTATTATAATTTGTAATTTAAAATATCTAATTTATTTAATTAAAGTTAGTAATAAATAATTATTTATAAAAAAAATCAAAAAATATTTTTTTAATTTAATTGATATTTTAACAATTCATTACATATATTTTTAAATAACTAATTATGAATGCCTAAAAACATATAAATTTATAAGTTAATTTTAACATATGAAATAATAAACATCAATTATTTTTAAAAATCAAAGAAAATAATACTTTTACTTTTTCAAAATAATATTAATAATAAATTTATGCCACTTTCACACATTATTACGTAGCAATAACTACTCCCTTTCGCTTTTCCACCACGAAAGGAGGAGAAAACATGAAATAACAATGTGAAGGAACAAGAATACAAGATAAGAAAGGCAATGGGGATGGTTGAACTGCGCTGCAATTGGTAAAGAAATAACCAACCTAACCTCTCTTTGGCGTTTACCACATGACCAAGACGCAAGTGTGTCAATCTTTTGATGATATATGAAAACAACCGCGTGAAAAAGTGGCATCAAATGTCAACGCACCCAAAACAAAACAATGAAGCCATTGCCTGCTTTCCAAAAAAAAAA